GTACATACGTTTTCCTCGTCGAAAGAAAGTTTAGAAGAGCGTTCTACTGTATATAAAGGGTGTTCGAGATGCTGGCATGCTACTGTTTCCGGGGCTGTCTGTGGGTGATTGCTGTCATGATGTTAAATACTGTCCTCCTCCTCTTGTCCGGGGTCGGCGTCGGAATACTAACGGTAACTGCGCTGACCGGTAGTGTCCGCATTCTCTGTCCCAGACTCGCGTAACCTCGTCTTGCGCCGGTTAGCAGCTGTCTGCATACATGTGTCCTGTAATCGCTGTATGCGAACGCAGAAGCCTCTGCCTCTCTCTAAGTGACGACCCCCTCATCAGCAACCTCTGTCCCGCTCACCAGCGTTCAATCCCTATAGGTCTTCCGAGTCCGCACCCATCTTGGTTACCCCTCCATCTGGTATGCGTTCATGCCCGGCTGTGTTTTCGGTTGACCTCGTCCGGTCAGACTTCCCGCATGCGCTTCCGCTGAGCCGGGCTGTACACGTAGGGCCTGGTAAGCAGCCGGTAGAGATGCTCAACGGTGAATATAAGTCGTTGCAACATGCATTGCTCGGACAGTTTTGTTGTCGTTACCTATGCGTATATGTCTGGACAGGTATATGGCACATACCTATGATTCCCTACATGTGAGGACTACAAGATGCTAGCCACACCAATACAGGACGTCAAAACTCCGGAAATATTCTTGCACAGTTTGCTGTGAAAGTATAATCTAATTAGGGATGGTTGGTTTAGCAGAGGGTGTCCCCACACCGCTTAAATTATTTATGTCGCCTCGTGTAGCAAACCTAAGTTTTAAGCTCGAGCGCTTTTATAGCAGTGGAGACTACCAGAAAATCCCAACATGTTCCAGTTAAAGTGGAAACCAATCCCGATTCGTATGCAGCGCCACAGATATGTAGGTACAGGTTTTAGAAGGCTGCCCTGAAATACTCAAAAAAACGAATTAGTTTAACTGGTCAAGTACTTATTCTTAGGCCGAGAAAGTTCTGAAATACTGTTTAAAGTCAGAAGGGCTATAACCAACTGTATAGTGCCGTTGTAATAAATTATAATAAGGCAACGAGGAGAAATTATTCGACACGAAGCTGAAACCTCCCTGTGCAGCGGTACCAATACGACCGCATTCCCTCTTTAGGCACCCATAAAGGCTTTTGTGAGTGTTCCTTTAACTTTTGAATCTCTGTTTCTTCATTTCGAAATATTAAGGTATGCATAAAAGTAAACTTTACCACGATTGGTTAGTTGTGATGGGAAATCCTGCTACACTTTTAGGATAAGAAAACAATACCCGAGGTGGAGCCGGAGGAAAAACGGAGCACGCGAAGGAAGATGCGGGAAATCGAGGTCATTTTCCAGAAATTTTGTTTTGCTTTCCTATTCAAAGCTCCTCGGCTGACTGTTTTCTTTTTGCATAACTAGTTGTGTGGTAACTTTACATGGTGTCCTTTTCGGCAGCGCTGACGGGATTCAAACAGCCCAATGCCCAATAATAGATTATGACCTGTATAATTTCCACCTGCTGTTCATACTCGCGACATTAAATGTCTTTATTTTTGACATTGTTTGCAGTCTAAAGATGCTATAAGCAGGCACACGGTATACAAAATCCACGTTATGCCGTTTATTGAAAAGACTGATTGGAAAATTGTTTTGATAAAATTGCACATATTTATGAAAGTCGGCAGTACCACTAGCTCCTGTGCCGAAGCAGCGAAGTGTTTCTTAAAAGGCAAAATCGGCTACTAAAAAGAGCCATAGGCCTTATTTTTAAAGCATTATTCCACATTTTCCAGCAAAAACGTCCTCCATTCATCGCGAATAAAAGAAGGTACACAAACAACATAACGTCCTGATAAGAATGCATACTAATTAAGTAGTAGTTTCTTACAGAATCTACCTTTTCTAAGAGGTCAGAAAGAAGCTCATTAAAAAACCGGCATCTGGGCATGACTGAAAAGACTTGAAATTAGGCTGTAAGGTAATCAGTATTAAAATCCTGCTTAATGTGGGTTTGCGAGTGATTGCCAGTCTTTCGCAAATTGCGGCATTTTGCTTGCAGCACTCGCTACACTGTAGGCGCCATTTCAGTTTCCGCGAGAATGCGCCGCTGCAATATGTTTGAATGACAATCCAGGGCAGGATAAATTACTCGAAAGGCCAGATTGGTGCCCGCCAATTGGTATAAATTGGCCAGACGAGCGAACTGTGATTGGTCCCTATTTCACTCCATCTCAGCCACACTGGAAGTTGTCCTTGAATGTTTTTGCAAAGTTTTCGCCTTGCCTTATGGATGTAGCCTGCCTTGCAAAGACAAAATGTCGCTACCCTTGAAAGAGAAAGGTGAAATCTCATAAAAAGCCAGTCCGATTGTGAGACTGGATATTATTGATCAAAAATATCCATTGCTGGGCATAATTAGTGCGTCGCTTAAAAGCGATAGCTCCATGAAAAGACTTTTTTTCAAACTGTACGATCTGTCTTGATTCTTTTCCTGTTTTCCTTCAGACTTTAAGTGCTAACTTTCAAAACGGCTGTTAATCAATGACGGATTGTAATAATTATATGCTGTCTTTGTCCGTATGCCAGTTAATTTGTACTGCCGTCCTGTCTTAATGTACGAAATTAATCAAATCCTGCACTCAAAATGACCATATGATTTGCGTCATAGTTGCATAATGCAGACTTCTATCTCGTCTTCAATTACAGAGTCGGCTTGATGGCATTCTGGACTATGAAGCCAAATCCGCATCTGGTTTTAAGGAAATGCGCTCGGCATTACAGGATATTCATGACAAGATGGCAAAGCATCGTCTCCTGATTGATCGCTACTCGGGTTTAGATATGAAAGAAGGCAATGGAGTCGTAAAGGATCGTGTCGAAGCGAAAGTCGAAGAACTCATACCAAGGTACTCGTACTTGTATTTATTTTAATTCTGTAAGGATGCCGTGCTTGACTTCCGTGCAGCGTCCCCACAGAGCTGACGGTGACGCCATCTTGAATGACTTCGATCCAAGACTTGTTCCGGTAGGCTTAATTATTTTGAAAAATTCTCGTCTTTATGTCCCCTCAAGTTTTCTTTCCATTAAGCGTATTTTTTGCTTTAAAGCATATTAAGGGAGAGAGTAGATAATCCCAGAACCAAGCAAATTTTCAAACTTTTACTCCAGAGTTATATAGGAAGACAAAAAACAGTTTCTGATCATTTTTATCATATTCAAAAACTTGGCAACGATTCCTGGATTTCTTAGTGAATGACGTCAACGAACCACCAAACGAATGCTGCCGTTACCCCTGAAGATGAACTCCAGTACGAGTTTGAAAGCTCAGAATAAAAAAACTAACTGTACCGGTGTTCAACCAGCCTTCTCCTTTAAATCACCAATCATGTAAGAGAAGTCTTAGCTAAAATCAAACGGGTCAGCAATGTACTCCATGGTCGACAGATAAGTATGCATTTGACAAAAAATTCAAAGGTTTAAAAAGCAGAAAATTAAGTCCCTGCAGATGGTACCTGATGGCGTGTGGGCTCAGATAAATTCAATGTGTATGCGAAGTTTTAACTTATGGAATCGATTATTCACATTCGAAAACATTAACAGAATCCTTTTTCATTTACTCAATAGGGACTCTTTCTTATGTTTCAGAATGGTTTAAGAAAATAATTCTGGGCATATCTGGCAACAGGATTTTGATACAGAGATGAAACCAGGGAGGTGACTTTGAAAGATTAAACATTTTGCAAGAATTAAGGCAGTTTAGTTGTTGAATTGTGGACATTGACACTGTTATGTATTGAAAACAGAAAGGTGGTTTGTAGGCGGATCAAATGTACTGTATGTAAAACAGAAGGCTGCCTGTAGGCAGAATGTTACGAAGGCAAAATAGAGGGCTCTCTGTAGGCAGGACGTGTACTGTGGACGAGGGCACAGTTCAAGTGACGAGTCATGTTAACAAAGGGGGGGTTTATGACGTGGCTCATTCGTAAGAGACTGAAAGGTAGCCAGTCAGAGCAAAGAGAGGGATGAACCCGCTGGCAAGGGGTGAAAGCTGGCCTGTCAGAAAAATGAAACTCGTGACCTTAACCGACGCTCGACGCGCCCATCCTGTCATGACAGCGGGCATACACAGCAGATACTCTGATGCACACTGCAGCGATTCAGCTTAATGAATGCACCCAAAAGTGAACCCAAATGTGATAAAGAATTCTAAATTTAGAAATCCTTTGCGAAATTTGTGGATAGCATGAAGCAGGGATCTGTGCCCGGGTTCAGCCCCCTTTAAGTGCCAACGATGGCTTGGTATCTGAAGCTCCAAGTCTTAACGCTAAACCAAACCATAACAAACATGAACTGTAGACGGGTAGACTATGCGAAATGGGGGAAGTTGCACTGTCAGAAAACGAACTTCGCGCCACATGGAGTCCGAAAAAATATAACCTCCCAATTTTCTGCCGGGTGCTGTATCGTTTGGCTACGTAGAACACTATTTCAAATGGTGAAACTAACCGCTATGTTGCCAATGCAAGCGGGCATGCGAGTCCCAGGAAGTAATTTAGAAGAAGAAGAAGAAGAAGAAGAAGAA